TTGATTGTCCTACTGTGTAGCTAGTCTTAAAAAATATTTACGTTTGCCCGCGTGATCAGCATTGATATGATGTTCCAGTGCTGAGCTGATGATATTTTTGTGCTCATCTATCAAGGTAAAGTTAACATTCAATGATTGTAAAGGCTGATCCCATATCTTGTTTGAGCTGCACAAATGATTCTTCCAGCCTATTCCTACACTCATAAACACTGAGCATCGAAATAGGTAGTGACTGGACATACACAATACTTGTTTCAGTCATCTTAGTCTATGAAGACTCAACATGTTTAGCTAGTACCGTACGCCTGAACTTAACATAGCACACCTGGTTGTTCCAACGTAAGTGAGCAACGTTTTAAAGACTTACGTGATCGAATGCTGTTTAGAATAATACTACTTTGATCGGATGATTCTCTCCATTTGTAAGTAGTATAGCTGAATTAACAATCTTTCTTTTTCTTCATACAGACGCTATACGGTGAATGCTGTATTAGAAGAGCGTTTGTTGTCAACATGGGAAGACGATGGACCATTCTAGTGTGTGTTGACATAACGTCTGTACACACGCACATATGTATTTATGTAATGAATAACGATAATTATTATTATAACAAAACGGTAGCACAATTAATTGTAGATAACTTTTCGTTTATTCATGTCCCTTATTTACTATTTTATTTCGCATTTAAATTTTATAAAAAAAACTTTACACTTGTCGAATACTTTGCAAAGAAAAACAAGCAAACAAAAGAACCAATCATAAGCCTAATTTTCATGAAACAAAAATCATTTTATTATAAGTCAGTATTCACTTCGGAAGTAAAGGAATTTATTGTTTAGGGATGGGGAACAGTTTCTGAATTTTAATTTAAAATGGAACATGAAAATATTGAACAAGCCCACTCGCGACTAGCTTCAAGATGTAATTCCTGGAGTTCTAGTGAGAAGCCATGACCACTAGAGTTCAACTGTGTCGGGTGTGAGATAGTTATCCACTTCAGGCAGTGGATGAAGGGTAGCAAAAGATCATGGATTGATTGAACTCAGATACTAACACCGAATGCCGGTTCAGTGATCTAGAGATTAAGCGTTTGTACGAGACCGAAGTTTCCGGGTTCGAGTTCCATGTACAGGGTCGTGTATGAGCACTGTCGAGGAATACTGTACTAGAACAAAATGGCCGTTCAGTGCTCCCACATTTCAGTGATGGTCTAACTTGGATTGACTCGTGAATCCAACTGCAAGAATTCAATAAATGGTTAGCGATTGCCTGACTAGGATTAAATTAGATAAGATGTTGGATATGTTCAGTGACATTTAGACCATGAAAAGTGAATCGTTGATATTTAGAATGGTCTTAGAGTGATAGTCAAATGTTTGTCGGTCTAAGTTTCCATACTATATCAACATGACGAGATGGAACGAACAAGATGAATAGCAAATGAATCAAAATAATGTAGTAGTACCTTTAGCAGTGCTTGAAATCACATCTGTTTACAAGGATGATAGTGAATTAGTGTTTACTCAATATAAATTCAAGACGAGAACGTTACAAAAGTGAAAAACACGTTACTAATGTGTAGTAGTGGAAATAAATGTGATTGACCACTGCGTGTGGGCAATCAAGTGTTCAGTCTACTAGCTATTAAATATATGTGATTTCCTTTCCGCTCATCGATTTCTACTCCAGACTCACTGATAGTAACTGGCTGTAGTCTAGCGTTTACTCTTGTTCTCTTTTTGGTCGTGAATTGCGTATCTAAAATAACGTGATCTAGTCTCTGTGAATAGTATCGTTTGAGTATCCGATAGAGCGGGAGTACAAACTCGGTCACCAGTCATTTGTGTAATATGTCATGGAAGCGAGAAATAGTTCCATTCGTCTGTTATATCAGTCATCACAAAAAATAAGTGCAATCAAAACAACAACTCAATAGCCTTACCATTAGGGAATTTATTAAACTTTAGTAGATCTAAAAGCATTCAGGGATTACAAAGGTTGATGAGAAACCAAAGTAAAAAAAATAGGCAAAATAATTAAAATACAGAGAGTGCTCTGTTGTAGTAAAAAAACAGGCGACTAAATGAACATGACTGGTCAGGTCATTCATAAGAATTGGGAAAAGAAAACACCAATCACGGGATAGATCAAATATAATAGGAAGTAAGGAGCAAGAGTACTGGGAAAGTAAATATGTTGATTACAAAAGGGACAGCGGGAATAAAAAGTGAGGCAACTGACTTAAACCTGTTACACCTCGTCGAGGAGTACAGGCCGCCCACCAGCATCCTCCATTCAATTCTGTAATGGACAATCCTTTTCAGTTACTATTCATCCTTTTGTTGTCTGCTTCCAGTTCTCGTCACAGTGTGTTCTTCGGCCTTTCACTTTACTGTTACCCTTCAAGATTCCAAGTTAGCGCTCGCCTCGTGATGCAGTTTGATGATTTTCCTAAAGTATTTACTCTCCACCTTCAGAGCCTTTTCCTAATTTCCTCCTCAGAGAGAACCTGGTTTGTCCTCCACCATAGTAGGTTGTTGCTGATGGTATCCGGTCGACGGACATTGAGTATCTCACGTAGACAATTGTTTATAAATACTCATACTGCTTTGATGATGGTTGTGGTAGTTCTCCACATTTCAGCTTCATACAGTAGAACTGTCTTAACGTTCGTATTGAAGATTGTGACTTTGATGTTGATTTACAGATAGTTGTTTTGAGTTCCATATGTTCTTCAACTGTAGATATGTTGTCCCTACTTTGCCCATACTCGCCTTTTCGTCTGCATCAGATCCTCCCTATTCATCAATGATGCTACTCAGGTGCGTGGAAGTATCCACATCTTCTAGAGTTTCTCCATCAAGTGTAACTGGGTTGGATGGTGTTCTCTGTGCTATATATGATATTGGTTTTTCCCTTGTGTATGTTGCTGTCTGTGCACGATCGATCAACACGGGATCTGACCTGTTGATCTTGAAGCTGGACCTCTAGTGAGTCCTTCATCCGGTTTAGCAACACTGTTGAGAACGTCTCCTGGTATCGATAGTAGTGTGACGCCTGTGTAGTACTTACATTTGCTGAGAGATCCTTTTTTTGTTATCTTGATGAGGTACCTTTCTTTCCAGATGTCTGTTATGGATGTTTGAACAAATGAGATGTCGTATATGTACATAAATTTAGCTAAGTGAAATGTTAGACATAGTTTAATAAACGTAAGAGACATGAGTCATAAGCGTATGCTAACTAATAAGTCCCTATTAGGTAATTAGATTTTTCATTTTCGATAACTGAGAATATCTAACTTGTATGTGCGGTCCACTGAAACACGAAGTCACTAATATTTGCATATTGAGTATAGCACATGACTTAATACAAAAACATATTCACTTAGTAGTACCACTTGAATCGAGTTTTAGCTAACCAACAGTTCCAAAGTCTGCATTAGTCATTAGGTATTCAACCTCATAGAGACGATTCATATATTATTTTGTTTTGAGATGGTGAAGATTTGTAGCTCAGGTGGATGCTTTTGATAGAGTTTTGTTCTCTGAACGTGACTAAACCATCCAGCTCAGGGAACAGAACTCCATCAAAATTATTTTGTTCTACATAGATACGTCTGAACCATAAAATCAGAACGTTTAGCGCGAATGACACTTATCGATTGACTATTGGGTGTTGAAAAATCAATTTTGTACGAGATACGCAGCTTGACAAAATGAAAATCGATCGGAGGAAGTATCTATTTGATGTTTCTAGATATTCATCAACAACTGTGACTTTAAGTGGGTGTATTTGATAAAGTTTGTAATAAGGACTCAGTTTCGTGGATTAGTTGAAGTTAGACATTAACACCGTTGGATGCCGGCTCAGTGGTCTAGTAGTTAAGTGCTCGCGAGATCAGCAGGTCCTGGGTTCGAATCCCTCAAGGCGGGACTATGGATGCGCACTACTGAGGAGCCCCACAGTAGAACAAAACGGCCGTTCAGTGCTTCCGGGTTCGCCATGGTGGTCTAGCTTCAATTGACTCATGATCTCAACAATTGAGAATAAGGACTCAATAACATTGACGAACATGTAGTGACTAATTAGTGAATTTAATCGAATCATAAAAAGGTCGGCTAGACTTTAATTTATGGACGAACCAATCAGGTATGAGATAACAAGTCTCGGATTTTGGAGCGAAATTCACTTATCAATTTGGTAAAATAGAGTTGTGACACTATAGCCGATGTCAGTTCGTGATGAGAATTCTAAATATAATTCCTAACCTTAACCGTCAACTGTAAATCACAATTCGAAATCGTCGCAAGGTTTATAACCCTTATTTGATTCTATTTATTAGGTGGACACCATCAAGGTCAGTCCAGCGTCGCTCAAAGGTCGTCCACAAATTATAGTCTCTCTCCAAAAGGTCGATCACATCATGAATTTGACTACAAAGAAGAGTTACATGGTTTCAAGCTTTTAGATCCCATTCATGATAATAAGTATCACATTCTGTAGGTTACTGACAGAGTTTCCCATTTAAACAACCTCAATTAGAGTTTGTAAAATATCATATGACTCTGAGGTGACCTACAAATTTTCATGCCTAAGAATAAAATATTTATAACCTCTGAGAGAAATCGAAGTAACATTTTAGGATAGTGTATATACTAAGTTTTTTTCAAAAAAAAATTTCGAATCGTTATTGCATAATTAATTGGATGAAACTATATGTACGAAAAATATAAAAAAATCTACTATAAAGATAATTAAACATAGTTGTTAATGAAAGCTCAACTTAGAATTTCCTGAAGAGTAATTATTACAAAATATTTTAAAGAATGAACAAACATGGAGATGAGTTCTCTCTGAAATTTCATACTCATTAATACTACTTAAAAGTAGTTTGAAAAATGTAAACAAAATATTGGGAGGTTAAATGTAGAGTTAGACAAAAAGATTAAAATTATTGTAACATTGTTAAATTAATGAAAAGCAATAATAAGAATTTCTATCGAGCATTTATTTTCGGAGGATAACTAGAATACAGAATAGATGATACGATAACAGTTAATGTGCCAAAAATGAAACTATTACTCAAATGCATCCCAAGGAATACAACAGAGAATGCACATGATAAAATAATTGACACGCAACAGGCAAATGCCTACAAGAAAGAAACAAGAGAAATGACATATGAATGTAGATAATAATGAAATAGAATTATTGATTGACGTAACTAATTATAAAGACAAAAATTATAAATATTAACCATATCGTAGATAAAAAACTGTAGTGAGGTTTACAATCTTGTATATCGTAACGGCTAGAAAGAGACATCAAATAGACATTCAAGTTTTTGGTCATAAGCTAGTGTAGTTATGAGTCTGCACCACTGAAAAGTTCCACACTAGTTCAAAGCAAATGTCATATGGTCCCTGGTTCTAATGGTGGTCTCCACGTGATGGTAATTTGTGACAAACTAATTCATATGTGTAAATTAACTACTCAGAACTTGTATTTTTTCGTCAAATCGGAAGAGAATAGTTATTGGTTAAAACTTAAGGAAGTAGAGTGTCAGGAAACTAAGAAGAAAGAACAGGAAAAATAAATATTACTAAAGTAATAGAATGGTTAGATTTAAAAAATAAGATGAACTGTTACATTCAATAAGATTTGGGACCAGGTATCCGGAATTAGGAATATTTACAACTGCTTACATATTGTTCGCATGAAAGATCACTAGACTGGTTTAATATAACTGGGAAGTTCAGTGTTAGATTTTAATAAATATGAGTTAATTAGAAATCTTATTATGGTGGAATTGAATTGAATGATAGAATGTTGAAATGACTTCGGCAGTGGAATAAGTAATTTGCCTATCGAACTGAATCTCAAACGCCCAACAAAGTAACGCTTAGAAGACAAAGCCGCTGGTTAACTGACTATACAACATCAATGAGGACTGAAACTTTTGTTAATGTACAAGGTATGCTCAAACCATGATAATTAATGTGACTATAAGTAACCTGTTAGATAGCAAATGAACAAGGTGCATCCACCATCTGCGTACAGGGATTGAACCAAAGACCTACAATCTCACGTGCGAACGCCTAACCTCCAGACCACTGAGCCGGCGTTCAACTTCAAGCAATCCATCGTTTTGCGCAACCCTTTATCCATTGCCTGAGGGGATCAACCGTCCCATACTCGACAGAGTTGAACTCTATTGATTACGGCTTTTAACTAGAACTACAGGAGTTACATCTTCAAGCTAGTCGCTAGTGAGTACATGATTGTTATTAGTATGAGGGTTTGTGTAGACTGAGGTACTTTCACAGTTAAAATCACGAGCTGATCTTAGCTAAACTACCACTCAGAACCTAGAAGCGCTAGATGACCGTTTCTTCCTACTGTAGGACTGTTCAGCAGTTCGCATCTACAACTACGTGCGCAGGAGTCAAACCTAGGGTCTTTGGTTTCGATCTGAGTTGTGGTAATTCTGTACTTCTAAGGCCTTAAGCCCGGAGACGGAAATCAGTAGGATGGGGCTATCTTTTGACCTAATCCTTTCTAAACTCATCCTGTTTTTGGAAGGCAGCATCGCAGAAGATGCCGGTTGTCTGGAAAAAACACCTTACTACCATCACAAACCTATACGGTTGGTAGTATAACCTTGCTGTCGGACAATGGTTTTGGCACCCTTATTTTTATTACTCTTCACTCAAATCGTCTGGGATGGTGTGGATTAAGGAAACGAATGTTTCGGGCAATATAGACTGGTTAGGTCGTTATGATAAGCAAACCCAAACGCCACATAAAGATAGCGGCTACGTTCGGGAATCAAATAACAACTAAGTAAATCAAAGTCACAAACTAATTAAAGAGGTTTTAATTTTTGTTGTTTAATACCCACACTAAATCTGAGAAATATATAGTCATAAGACTAGCAACTAATTCAAAAGTCACCCCTACAAGCATTTATTTCACTGTTGTTTTTATGAATAACCTTTGCTTTGACCAGTAAAAAAACATGTTTTCAAGTTGTCATTGGATTGGTTACAGTAGTGTGATATTTCACAGCTTGCTACATTGTTAGTATAAACAAACACAAAAGTCTTATTCCAGTTTTTTTAAGGTATACAAGAAACGGGTTATGGGAATAAGATATATATATGATTATAGTTCAAATTTCGGGAAATATAGCGTTGCACAACACTTTCTCTCATGATACTGTTTATGCTTCCTACTAGTCCATCTTCGTGATAAGAAAGAATGTCAACTATGCGGCATGAGCTCCTTTTCGACTGTCAATCAGTCACAACGTAGAACCTGTACGTGTGTACATCGGTTCAAGTTGTCATATCCCATTAGCACATCGATATAAAGTTATCAGGTCAAATCCCAGAATAGAAGAGGTAATAACAGCATCAGTTGTAATAAGAAATATTAGGCACAGAAGATACGACTCGGAAAGAAAATATAAATTAGCGGAACAAAAAAAGGAATTTAGAATCCCAGGATTTGGGAGAAAACAAAGAATGGTTTCACCAGCGCCACCGCAAACGATTTGAGCTGTCATTCAAAGTCTCTAACCACTGGTTACGATAATCACACGAACCTCAACCAAGTAGTCTGTATCAATTAACATGGATAAGTCCAATTGTCAGTGACTTCATGGACTGATGCCATGTTTTGGTTTGACCACCCCATATTTTCTTCCAACCTGCTCTTGAACCAGAAAACATCGCCTGTCAAGGTAGACGGTGGTTGGGACATGTGTTACGTATGCCCAACCACCTCAGTTGATGAAAATTTACTGCTTCACCAATCCTTGCCTGGTACTCTATTCCTAACCTAGCCAATGTTTACCTCGTGGTCCCAAAATACACGAGAGTTCGTCGTTAGTTCCGTTTCTAAGATGATTAAAATCATATCCAAAGTAAAACCCGTTATATGGTTACATAGCTTTACGCCAATAAAGTTCATCTTTGCAGTTGTTAAATCCACAAAATTTACTTCACAAGGTTGCTTTGACGTTGTCATAATCGAACAAAAATTTCGTTTCGAATAAACTAACCAGATTGGAATGTGTCAGTCCAGTTAAATATCAATCAAAGAAAGATAACAGTTACCATGTTTACATCCAAACTCTTTTCATGATCATCAAGTCAGATTAAACCCTGTCTAAAGTCAAAGTTCAAAATTATAAATAAACGTCTAGATTCAAGTAAAAACTATACTTGTTTACTGCTCATTTTTTTCGTTTACTTAATAATACCAAGTTTAACAGGGTAAAACTTTGTATTATATAAACAAGCAACTAATTATCGTTTTAATGTGAAAAGCAAAGAAAATACGAAATTTACTTACTTTAAGAATATTGTTAGCATATTTAACTACTAAAGCTACTAATAAACCACCGAATGCATGTAGAAATACAACTATCCAAACAAACCAATCAAAACCATGAAAATAGCCATTTTGTGTAATATCAGTCCAATCGGTCAATAGTTGTACAGGTATACCAATGATAATTGATGCAAAAGCTAACTCAATATTACGATGCCATATAGATTTGTTGGTATTTTTCAGAAGCTTAATTATGAAAGAAGATAATTTAAAAATCAACAAAAATGATAAAAAAAGTATATGATGAGTATATATGTATGAGCGCTAATACCATTAAGATGCATAAAGATATGGTTGAGAGGATTGATGTTAGGCGGTTGCAAGCATTATTTGTTTGGTTAGATGTATCTACAATTTCGAGAAAAATGACGCGTCCAGTGAAGTTGATTGCAGATACACCTTGTTGACAAGTAAAAACTAGTATAAAACCTAGATTAAAGAATTTGTTGCCGATTCTCTTCAACCATTAATCTGGATTAAAACAAATTGCATGAGATGTCAAGCTACCAGAGGTTTTAACGATTTAAATATGCTCTTTATGATAGCTGTAATCACCCCGTAAGAAGATGTATTTTCATGCATTTCGTATATGATACCCTTGAAATCGTTGACTAAATAGTGGGTATGAATGTAAATGACAATTCACGATTTCCCTTGATGTTGAGTCACTTTTCAATAATGTCCGACTTACACAGATTACTTGTTTTGCATACAAAAACACATAGATGATAATATGAATGGGTGTGTTTACTACAAGGATACGCAAAACCTTTATTCTCAACCGATAGGTAATAAATACTGATTTTAAGAAGTAAAAGAATGAAATTATGTACAAAACTTTGTCGATTAGGTAAGACAAGTTATCTGTTGTTAGTAGATTTTGCATCAGTTCACTGCATATGAACATGTAGTTGTCTATATAATAGTATTTTTGACGTTTAGCTTAACTGGTGTCAATGTTACACTATCGATGAACTTACGGGATTTCGCTTGGTTGGATCACTGTTTATTATTGTTTTTTCTTTAAGGCTGTGAAGGTTACCCAAGGTAAGAAATCTCTTCATATTATGTAACTCATTTCAGTCAGTCAGCCAGCTACAACGTAGGACTAGACACATATATGCATCGGTCCAAGTTGTCACACCTCATAAACACAACAACATGAACACCAAATTCATAAAACCAGTTACTTCAATGGTAATAATATATAAAAGGAGATTGCATATGAGGATATAATACAGGAAGAAAGCATTACTTCGTAGAAAGAAAGGTATGAAGTAATTTTAATCTTACGGCTTAAGGGAACACAAAGAGTGTATACGCCTACGCCATGGTGATCGATTCTGAGCCATGTTACCCAGAGTCTTCAACCATTGGTTACGATAGTCACGTGGACCCCAAACAAACAGTCTGCATTTACCAACATGGTTCATACCAGAAGTTAATGACTTTATGGATTGATTCCACGTTTGGGTTTGGCCACTCCTAACTTTCTTCCAACCGTCTCCAACACTAGTCAGCATTGCACATCGTGGTGAACGGGCGTGCGTAATACACGATCTAACCGTATCAGTTGATGTGGATTCAAAACTTCATCAACTGATTTATCATCATTCTTTAATATCTTGCGTCTACCTCACTATTACTTACCCGATGATCCCAAAAGATGCATGCAGAAATGTCATCAGACACCATTTACCAAATAATGATTTACTCACTCACTTTGAGCACACTATTTGTATGTGCGGGATAATGATGCTTACGTATCTGTCCATATAAAAGTGGGGCGGGGTTCGAACAGGTGAATTACTGGCTGAAAACCGACTATCTTAACCTCTGAGCCACTATCCTCATTCATATTGGAAGGAATTATCAATAATGAGTGTATGTACAGCACTTTCTACTCAAAAAAATATGTATTTAAGTTTCAATAACGCTTTCATGTACGGATTATCTATCCCACATTTCTGCTGTTCGCAGAAATATCACCCCGAAATGTTGGACGCCAGTAAGTAGGTTCTGCTTATTATTGAAACAGAAAATCGAATCAAGTTGTATTTAAAACTTACTCTCGATACATTAGAATTTGCGGACAATAATTAGTCGTATTGAGATTTTGCCACAAGTAACAAATGTGGTTGAAAGTAAAATCAACATTGCCCCCTCTCATACCGTTCAGTTACTAAGGTTGTATTTCTCTGTAGGACACACTTTTGCAACTTTTTGATATTAATTAGTTGTAATCTTACAAGGTTCATATACAAAAACTTTGAAATATACTTGAATGTAATTAAGAGTTCTATTCTCGCTCAGCTGGTGGTTAACACAGGATATGTCAAGTTGACTTAAATAAAGTTTTTGAAGCTATCCGTTTTATCCCATCAAATTTAGGACGTGGTTTACGGGTTCGTCTTTTGCATACTGCTGAACCCATATTCAAAAGCCTGACCTTTGTGCTCGAAAGAATTTCGTACAATCCCTCTCTCTATCTTGATCATCGACATAAATCATAGAATAGTAAATTATAGTAGAACATTGATCCATTCCTCTTTTTCTAAATTTGTTTTAAACTTATTTCATCTTTGTATTATTACACAATCTTAATATTTATCTCTTTATTTTTGCATAACTATTATTAAGTTGACTTTTTCTTAAAATATTTGTTAAATTCCCTATGAAATACTATGTAATTTGACAACTATTGAACTAAAACATGGATATATGAACGGAGAATACTCTTTTCAATAAATTTAATGAGTTCTAGTTGTGTATCTAAATCATTATCCAAAAAGTGGCCAGGTTTAAGGTAAATACATCGTTTAAAATTACAGCATTTGAATTTAGGATTGTTTGCAAAATAAGACGTAAATTGTTAATATTGACATGTTATCAGTATAGGGATTTGTGGAACTTGTAGTATTTTCATAGTTGAAATCACGAGTTGATCCAAGCTAGACCACCATTGAAAACCTGAAAGCACTGGATGGCTGTTTCGTCTAAGTATGAGACTCCTCAGCATTGAGATGACTAATACGCAATATTTTCAATTTTCACAAATAATTAACTTATCCTCTCGATCTTGTAAGCAGCCATCACGATTAACTGCATTATATCATGTTACAAACAACTGATTTTTTTAACAATCAAAACATTTAATTAATAACAGGGTCTACAAGGTTATAATGGTTAATGGATACAGACTTAAGACCGTAATTTAACTCGAAATCTATGGATATATCCATTATCTATTAACATTTATTAGTTGCATAGAGAATAATAATGTAACTAATTAACCCAGCATAGACCTATGTAGTCCACCTCGAGCCAGACCCTACATTGACAATGACCAAAGAGTTAATCATAATATCTAACTGCCCAAACCATAATGTGACTTAAGCCGGTGAACCACTAGTCAAAATAAATTATTGAACAGCTAAACCATTGTTGAACATTAGTTCCATATAATTTCATCCTATGTGGTCAACCACATCGAAGTAGATTAAGTGGAGTGCAAGTACATGACATGATTTATGTGATATATTGGATCATTGAGTGAATGTGATAGATTGCAAATAACATGTGATTTGTTAGCTTATCAAAAGATAAAAGGATTGCATTTATATACGAAATTATGACATAATGGAAGTTCATTAAGTTACAGAAACCAGATATCTGTTATATAGTGAAAAATCACTCTACATTAAATTACGACAATAAAGTTGAAAAATGGTTGGTTTATTCTCTTCTCACAAGCTTTAATGCAATAACTATAACCCAATATATAACATAGCGATTTATAAATATTTAATCACTCTCTAATGTACAAAATAACTGAAGTGATATAAATAGTCTCTAGATAGAATAACTTACCATTTCAAAAAATACACATGCCAAGCCAGACAATATGGATGCCCATACAGCACAAAATAATCCTAATGGAGGATTATATGCTATAGGTGGGTGATTAGTTTTATTAGAATTAACGGGACTTTCAACTGTTGCAACTCCAATAAACAATAAAACCAAAGCAAACCATTGCATTTTACTAACCGGTTTCCGAAGAATAAGCATACTGAATAATGCTGTAGTAAACAATTTCAACTGATAAGCCACCTAAACTAATAAATATTCTATTACGAAATATTATTAATCTTACCTGAAATGTGACTGCATCTAAATTACTCAAAGCTGTTATAAGAAGACGATTTTGAATGACATATATTATAGCAGGTATAAAAGTCATTAAAACATCTAGTGGATTGTGTTGCATGAGTTTTAAACAGTTTTTTAAATTCCCAGTAATGCTTAGAACTGATACACATGTCAAGAATTTCAAACATTCGCTCATTATTACCAAAGATGAAGAGTTGAACATTTCGGTTGGTCGTGATCTTGCATGACGCATACACAGAATATAAAGTAGATTTTGAAATACGAGAATGAATAAGCTTAAATATTTCATTGTAACCATCCGCAACATTGCACTTGTCAGAGTATGCTCCTAAAAACCTAAAATACATATAAATAAACAGGTAAACAACCATCGTACATGAATTAAAGTTTCCACAAAAGAGGTTACACATCTAAGGTACGGAAATTCTGTATTTTTATTTATTTATTTTAACACATAGATATTGGTACACGAGGCACCAAATACATGTGCGCCACACAAATCCCATTCGATACGTGTGAGGGCTGTGGTACTGCCCAGGTGCCCAAACTGAAGTAGGTGGTCTTCTTAGGGGGCCACACCCGGAGCCTTCGACCTGAAGGTCTGATTCACAAGGCAGTGGAGCAACGTCAGGAGATGCAGTCCCATGGTAGCCGGTGACCAACGGTTAGTTCATGCGCCATTTGTTCCTTCAGGATACTGGGGCCCATATGCACCATTGGTTTGGGATCAGGGTTTTCCGATTCCCCTAGGTGGACTCTCCATGTTCACCAACCCGGTTAAAGCGCCCGAAGATCCTCTTTTCGTCCTCTCAATTTGTGAACAACATCCCCGCCACGAGAAGGCAATAAGTAGGACTTTCCTGACAGAGGCTAAATACGCGTGGCCATGTGAGAGCACTTCGAGTGGGAGAGCTGACTCTCCCCACTCTCGACGGTACCAGGAAATTCGGGGACCAAATGAAAAAGAATTTGGGCCTTTGGTAAATTCGTCAATTTATCATTTATTTATTTAAACATAAGTATTGATACAAAGGGGCATCAAATACATATGCGCCACACAATTACAACGAGAATGTAAGGTGCGTATGAGAAAAAGGGGAACAATAACAAATAGGAAGTGGTGTATGATAGTGAGATAATAATAATGGAAGAGGCAGTTCAGTTAGCAAAGGTACAACCAGAAAGAATTCTTGCAGTTAAAGAAGTTACGTCCATTTTTATGGCCTCTATTCTGAGCCATATCTGATAACGTTTCTAGCCACTGTGTTGCACAATCTCTAGGACCCCAACCAGAGAGTCGTGAAGGATCAACAGAAGCCCCTCTGAATGCCCTGGCCCCCCTGAATGCCCTGGTACGGCCGAGAGTGGGGAGAGTCCGCTCTCCCTCTCGAAATACTCTCACACGGCCACGCGTATACAGCCTCTGCCAGGGAAGTCCTACTCATTGCCTTCTCGTGGCGGGGGTGTTGTTTACGAAAATGAGAGGACGAAAAGCGAATGTCCGGCGCTTTAACCGGATTCCAAATCAATGGTGCACATGGGCTCCAGTATCCTGCGGGAACGAATGGCGTATGAACCAATCGTTGGTCACCGGCTACCATGGGACTGCATCTCCTTACGATGCTCCACTGCCTTGTGGGTTAGACCTTTAGGTCAAAGGCTCGGGGAGTGGCCCCCTAAGATAACCACCTGCTTCGGTTTGGGCACCCGGGCAGTATCACAGCCCACACACAAATTGATGAACTCTTTATGCCTATGGAAATTACCTTTCTCGCTTTGAAAAACAAACAATTGATTCAGATTATTATCATTACAATTATTGTCATTATTAATACTATTATTATTATTACTACTATTATTGTCATTATTATTATTATTATTATTATTATTATTATTATTATTATTATTATTTTCCACATTATTCACCCTCTTTTATACTTATACAGCGGCTCGTCTTTGGTGGAAATTCGACTGTATCTAAACGTTCTCGAGTCACTGTCCGGTTGAAAATTGTATGTTACCACCGAATACGAGGACTGAAGCAGATTTTCTGAAACCACGTGCACCATTCAAACTGGCTGCCTTCAACGTTCGCACATTTATGCAGGTCGGACAACAGATAGGGCTGGCTATGTCTTTGGAAAGTCTTAATATCGACGTTTGTTGTCTATCCGAGACCCGTATTCAAGACTCTGGCGAAGTACTACAAATTCGATCTCCATCTGTCGCTTCGAAAAGCTTGTTTTACGTGCGCTTATCCGGGGACCCTGTGGCATCTTCGTCTGGTCTTGCTGGCGTTGGTGTCGCACTAAGCGCTAGAGCTGAGGCAGCACTAGTCGATTGGATCCCCATTAACAGTCGGTTATGTGCTGTTAGATTAGAAAGTTCCATCAAAGTGAGAAGAAATCGGCGTGAGAAACGATGTCTTTTCGTCATCTCCGCCTATGCCCCGACAGATTGCAGCCCGGATGCAATCAAGGATGAGTTTTACCACCAGTTATCAGTTCTTCTCCAGAAAGTGCGTTCGACAGATATTGTAGTACTAGCCGGAGACTTGAATGCTCAGGTCGGGCGTCTAGGCACAGAAGAGAGTCGTTTAGGTGGCCGATGGGGACTCGTTGGTCGCAGGTCAGATAACGGGGACCGTCTACTGCAACTTTGCACAGACCACAACCTGTTTCTGGCTAGCACTAACTTTCGGCACAGTCATCGCCGATGTGCCACCTGGCGTCCTCCCTCTGCATCTCAAGCCTGGACTCAGATTGATCACATCGCGATCAGCTACCGCTGGCGTGGTTGTGTACAAGACTGCCGCTCCTTTTGGAGTACCTATCTGGACTCTGACCATGCCTTGGTCTGCGCCAATCTTGCCTTACTTTTCAGTGGACAACGAAGTGAACCCATCAACGGATTGATGTTAGCAAGCTGGTTGCAACTTCTGTTGCAAGTAAGTATCGAACCGAGCTAGCCTCTAGGCTAGCTACCACTCCACCGAAAAGTATAGATGAGCATTGGTTGCAATTGCATGACGCCATGAAAATGGCGGGAACAGTCAGTTGTGGGTTTGCGAAACGTCCCGCTTTTAAGCACTGGGTTTCTTCTGGTTCCTTACAACTCATTGAAGCCCGTCGGTCTACTCCGGGTGACCGTGAGTTTGACCATAAACGAAGGATGTTACGTAAGGAAATTGGGCAAAGCTTGCGTAAGGACCGAGAAGCCTGGTGGTCGATGCGTGCTAATGAGCTGGAAGCAGCAGCTGCATCTGGTAACTACCGGAAGCTCTTCCAGCTCATCCGAGCCACTGGCAGCAAGAAGTCTGGTGTGAGTGAAACAATCTGCGAGGATGATGGGATGCCAATCACTAACATCCATCGACGTCTTGGACGATGGGCAGAATTTTTCGAAGGGCAGTTCAACTGGCCTGCTGCTCCGGCAACATCGGTCAGACTGTCCTGCCCTCCATGGCCGGTGACGACTGATCCACCAAATGAGGAGGAAGTCCGCAAGGAACTCCAACTCTTGAAGCGTTACAAATCACCTGGCCCAGATGACTTACCTCCGGCTCTTTTTAAAGATGGTGGTGACTTTTTGACTAAGGAATTGACGACGTTGTTTACAAAGGTTTGGGAACTAGAGAGTGTACCAACGTCATGGAATGAGTCGATAGTTGTCCCTATCTTTAAAAAGGGTTCACGTCGTTCTGTAACAACTATCGGGGGATAAGTTTACTTCCGATTGCGTCCAAGCTATTGGCTTCCGTCATTCTTCGTAGGTTGTTCAAAACCCGAGAAAGATTGACTCGCGAGGAGCAGGCTGGGTTTCGTTCTGGTCGAGGATGTATTGATCATATCTTCACCCTCCGCCAAATGTTAGAACACCGCCATACTTTCAAAGGCCAACAATCGTAGTGTTTCTTGACATCAGGGCTGCCTTCGATTCGTTGGACAGGACTGTTCTCTGGGATTGTCTATTGAAGAAGGGTGTGCCTGAGAAGTTTATTAACATCCTGAAAGCCCTATATAAAAACACCTCAGGCAGAGTGAGGGCATACAACCACCTCTCTCCATTGTTCCATTCGAGCAGTGGGGTTAGGCAGGGTTGCCCAATCTCACCATTCCTCTTCAACTTTGCCATCGATGACATTCTGGAAACAGCTCTGATGAATGTAAGTAATGGTGGTGTGGATCTGTTGCCTGGAGAAAGACTTCTCGACCTTGAGTATGCGGACGATATTGTCTTACTGTGCGATAATGCCCAAGGCATGCAATCCGCACTTAATCAGTTGGCAATCAGTGTCCGTAGGTATGGTATGTGCTTTGCACGTCCTCAACTCGGAGAGGCCAGGTTTCACAAGCATAGAGTAAAACTGCTCTCACCGACGCGTTGTAGATCCGGCCTTTTACAGCCAGACTAACATCACGAAGGCGCCAAAGATGGCCCAGATTGGCATAAGCCGCTCTGGCTTTCACTATACGTGCATTGATCTCATCACTCACACCCCTACCAGCACTTATGCAGCTACCCAGATACACGAACTTCTCAACTACTTCCATCTGCTCACCATCCAGGGTGAGTACAGGATTAGAATCCTGCCAGTCTTGTAGAAGTACTTTGCACTTCGAAGGTGCAAAGCACATACCATACCTACGGACACTGATTGCCAACTGATTAAGTGCGGATTGCATGCCTTGGGCATTATCGCACAGTAAGACAATATCGTCCGCATACTCAAGGTCGAGAAGTCTTTCTCCAGGCAACAGATCCACACCCCCATTACTTACATTCATCAGAGCTGTTTCCAGAATGTCATCGATGGCAAAGTTGAAGAGGAATGGTGAGATTGGGCAACCATGCCTAACCCCACTGCTCGAAAGGAACAATGGAGAGAGGTGGTTGTATGCCCTCACTCTGCCTGAGGTGTTTTTATATAGGGCTTTCAGGATGTTAATAAACTTCTAAGGCACACCCTTCTTCAATAGACAATCCCAGAGAACAGTCCTGTCCAACGAATGGAAGGCAGTCATGATGTCAAGAAACGCTACGATTGTTGGCCTGTGATAAGTATGACGGTGTTCTAACATTTTGGCGAAGGGTGAAGATACAGTCAAAACATCCCCGGGTTTTGAACAATCTACGATGTATGACGGAAGCCAATAGTTCGGACGCAATCGGAAGTAGACTTATCCCCCGATAATTGTTACATAAGCGATGTGAACCCTTTTTAATGATAGGAACAATTACCGGCCCATTACATGATGTTGGGACAGACCTTTGTGAACAACTCGGTCAGTTCCTTAACCAGAAAGT